CTCCACTTGGAGCTGGCCTCCACCGGCAGTCTCCGCAGTTTCCTCAGACCTGGGCCAGGTTAGCCCCGGGAACCAGAATCCAGCTGCTCAGTGCCCGGCGCACGCCTTGCCAGGCASGAGCCTCTAGGAGTATTCTCCACAAGTTCCCCAGTCCGGAGCCTGAGCAAGAAATCTGTCTGCTAGACGCAGGCAAGTACCAGCCTGAAATCACCTTTTGACATCACTAAAATGCTACCATTTTATGAATTTGTAGTATTTTTGCATATGTTTCTCTTTAAAAAACACACTATGGATACTTCAGTTGGAGACAGCAAAAGGAACTGGCTCCACGTATGCTGCCCAGTGAGGGACATTTTCAATATATTAAAGTGCATATTASTCAAAGTTGTTTACATAGGTCTACAAATAACATCTACAGCCTGACACAATTTTGTCCATAAGCATCTAGAAATAATAATTGCTGCAGTTTATTATAGTGCAATAATTTTCTTTGTAGGAAGTATGAATCAATTTGATTTTATATTCTGATATTCATTCATCATAATTGGGATTTTGCCTTTAATTTTAATTGCCTTTAATTTTATTTTGTATGTTTTGTAAGAAAATGATATTATTGAAAAGATTTTGAGCATTTATATTTATGATATTATATTTTGAGAAAACATTCAMATTTTGCATAATGAATATAATTYAGTCTATTTTATAATTTTTAAATTTATTACTCAATGAAAAAAATATGAAAAAATTGGTCTATAACCCAAGGACTTAAAAACAGCATACTACAGGGACACGGCAACATCATTGTTTATAGTAGCACAATTCACRATAGCTAAAACTATGGAACCACCCTAGATGCCCTTCAATAGATAAAATATATACACAAGGGGATATTACTCAACAGAGCTAAGTTTTAATGGTACTTTTCTTCTAAAGTTCTCTTTCAGAATTCTCTCTTATGGTTTGATATCTGAAAACATTCCTTCTTTGAAAGAATTCATTGCTAAAAATCTACTTTTTTTATGTTCATCTCATTTCTTCCATCAAACTAGACTTTGTTTCCTCAACTTATTTTCCCTATAAAACACCTTCTCAAAAAGGAACAGATTTAAAAGTAACACAATTTCTATATCTCAACTCCYTTATCTTAGAACTAAAAATCCAGTGTTATTTTTTTTTTCCTATACTGTAATGAAAACAAAGTTCTATATTTTAGGAATTTTTTTTTCAGTGTAGATACATACAGCCTATTTTCAAATTTACCTGCTAGGTAGATAATTCTTACAGTTAAAAATATAAGTTATCAAAAACTGCTGTGGCTCATTCATATCAAGTTCAAATGAGAATTTTTGATCAAGAGCTTAGAGATCCAGGTTTTGCTATTTTGAACCAACACATACTTAGATTGAGCCAATACATACACATTTAATATGTATCAAATCAGAAACAAGGYGAAGAACTTTTGTAGATAATCCTATTAGGTAGTAGGTTATCATAGTTCTAGCTGTGACACACACACACTCACATACACACACACACACATAAATGTAAGTATTTTTAAGGGACATATAGTAACATGCACATTGAAAAATGAGAATTTGGAGAATGTAAAAACTCAAAGACTAAGAAGTCTTAACATATAGACCTAATACCTATCAAAAAGAGAATACCCAAGAGCATCATTTGCAAAGTACATGATTCAAACAGAATAAGTTTATGTGATTTAAATAAAATTTACAGGCATTGTACAATAACCATAATGTGACTCTTTAGCCATGTTTGAATAAAGCTAGAATTCAATGAAATAAATAGAAAAAGCATTTTCAAGTTAATTGTAAGTCAAATTATATATTGATCTGTCTTTTCTTTATTTTGGTTATTGTGAACTAAACCTAYAAGTATCTTCTAACAATTCAAAGTTTAAAAAACACAACTCCTGTCATTAAAGAAAGAACATAGGAGCTGATTTTATATTCTATAATTTTCTCTTCAAAATCCTTTGAAGGTGCTTTATCATATCTAGGTAACCAACACATAATAAAGTTATATTCAATAACATATAGAGTGTATAGGAATGGCAGGCACAGTATTCTGAGCTTGGTAGAGGACTTCACAAGCAAAAGCTTCATGACTTGCATTTCCATTCACTATGCTTCAATTATAAGAGTTCATAAAGGGAAAGGTAGCACAAATCTGAAGAAACTACAAGTGGTCAGGTTTAATAATACAATTCAAATGTTAAAAATAATATTTAATATTATGCCATGGGAAGTTGCACTAGTAAAAGACTTTTAAGGAATGAAAAACCATTTCAGATTGAATTCAAATTCATGTTGTTCTCATATTACATAATAAGGGAGAGCTTTCATATTAACTGTGTCAGAAATTCAATAGGTACTTTCAGTGCCACAGTCTGGCTGGGCACACAATCATGAGCCATCTCACAGCCTTGTAGATTCMAACAGCAATTGTTTATTCCCGAACTCACACAGGCACTCTACACACGTTCTGGGGAAATTCACGTTCTCAATCCCAAATACTCTCTGAATCCCAGGAGAACTCAACAGGAACTCAAGGAGCGGGAGTGCCTGAGGCAGCAGGATAAGCCCTATTCCCAGCAGGGTCCACCTTAACCCTGGAACCGCCCTAAACCCAAGGAGCAGGATACTCCCTAAAACCTGATCTGCCCTAAACCCGGATCCGCCCTGGTCCTTGAGCAAGGTCACCTTACTCAAGCATACATGCAATGTCACTGCAAATGACCTGGGTCCAAAGGCAAGCCCATTTCCACAATGGAGAGTCCTTCCTYTAAGCAACATGGAGTAGGCTGACAAAGAAACTGCCATGTGTCATTCCTACTTGACAATGGCTCTCAGCATCTCAGCAGACATTGCTATACTGACAAGTGAACCACTCAAACCCCATTATTGTCTGGATGCATGCTGTAGGATATAGGAACAAGGCTATAAAATGGGGAAAGCATAATTCATAAACAAAATGTTCAGTAATTTGGAACAACAAATCTCCCAATAACTAGAACAGTCTGACAAAGGCTGATGTGATATATAAAGATAGACAAATTTAGGAATAGCATTAAAAATAAGCAGAACTTTATCAGAAATGGGAAACTTTTATCATCAAGGGAAAAATTGGTAGTGATGATCTACATTACATTGTAAAGAATCCCTGATATAATTTCTACTGTGTTTGTGTATTTCACTGATCCTTTGGTTTCTGAAACTTCTATTTATGAATCTACCTTTTATATACAAAGTACAAAGCATCACCAAATATTTCTTAAAGGAATAGGAATGCCAATTACATTTGCAGCTAGAATGTTGAAGCTGAAGTAGGAATACCAAATTTTTAATAGACTTTTTTCAGGGAGGTTCAATAAGACATCTATTTTGCTATTGCCACATATTTTTCACTTGCCCTAAATTATAGAGCTCAAAATAGCTATCTACTTTTGTTTTTTTAATCAAAAATAAAGAAGGGAGATGGAGAGTTTCTATCTCATCACACTAAGAATGTACTAAACTATATTATAAATAAACAAATGTATACCAACTATTAATAAGAATATTGCATTTAAAGGACAAATACTGAATTATTTTAAACTAGTGTGTTTAAAATCCATGAAAACTATTGCTTTAAATTATTATGCCAATTTCATGCCAATTAATCAATATTCATGACTAACCTTTTATTAAAGTTGATAAAATTATAGATGAATGTAAAAACTAGAAATTACTTCCTTAAAGTGGAAATTATCAGTAGGCATTTGTAGTATTTTAGGGTCTGTTGATATTACTACTTTTTATTGAATAAAACTTCAAAATCAACATGTTTTATTTCCTTAGTTGTCACATGTGTGAATAGAAAATGTAATATATTTATTTCTTCTCCCACTGGCTACATCTTGATACAATTCAGTATCAGGTAAATTCAACAGTGATGCACCTCTTCTTAAAACACAGTTAACTTCCTTACCTCTAGAACAGATTCCTTTAAACCTCTAAAGTTTCCATACAAAATCAAAATGATTAAGGGTAAGGTGACATCAAATGCTTTCTGGAAAACATGGTATCAATTATCTGACCTCCATGTTCCCTATAACAATTTGTCTTTGGGAAAGCTATATGACTGTACAATGCTGTGGACAGCAAGATTCATCTGCACTTGCTAATATGATCAACAATGCTATAAAAAGTTAACTGAGCTTATATTTTTTATAACACTTGGAGAGACTGTAAAACCATGAGAGAGTTTTAGGGTAGTTGAGGACAGAAAATTTGTACCATAGCATAATTGATATGGCAAGACAAAGAAAACATTTCATTGATGATATTACATTAATTCTGTAAAGGTATTTTATTTTAAATATAATTTATAATAAAAGATATTTAACTGGAAGGAGAATAAATGGTAAGAAATTTTCAGCTGAAATCATCATGCTTTGTACATAATGTATAGTCTGAATAAATTAAACGTTTTCTATTTAAGGCATCATTTCAATTGTAGTACTTTCAGCTAATATGTAAGTGGCAATGTTTCAAGTTACAGATAGATTGGTAAAATAGCAATGTATCCATAAAAGCATAATTATGTTAGTAGTGTCCCTTCCTAAAAGTCACTTAATTTCAAAAACTAGTCAAGAAAGAAATACCCTAAGCTTAAAACAAAAAACAAACAATAAGTTTAAGAAGTTGATATGTAGATCTGAGATTGTTGCATTTTACTACAAGACACTACTAATAATTTACTTAAAAAATGAGAATGATGAATAGAATAATTTTGGAGTTAAGTAARTCATAAAGACCAGTAATATTTTTACACAAAATATACAATTGATTGAAATCACAGGGAAGTGCTCACTTTGGCAGTTCATGTACTAAATTTGGAACAATACAGAGAAGATTAGCATGGCCCCTATGAAATACTGGCATGTAAATTTGCAAAGCATTTCATACTAACAAATATAAAAATATAAAATAAAGTAAAAAATAAAATGTCAGAGAAGCAGCCACCCACTCTAGAAATCAAGTGTGTATGGATATTATGCAAATTATTATTTTACAAAAGTTAGCAATTTATCAAATTAATTTGCAAAATTGTCATTTCTGTAAACTAATTTTAATTACTTGTATGTTGAAATGAATGAAATGCTTTGACTTATGATTCTGTGTTCTTCAGAATATAATTTCACCACAATTTTCAAATAAAAATGAAACTAAGACAATTTTTAAATGATATAAACATAATCTGGACTATTTCCCAAATCAGTAGAAGACAGAAAATAATTAGGATCAAAAATAAAATTAATGAAATTGCAATTAAAAAAATACACAGAATAAATGCAACAAAGAATTGATTATCTGAAAAGATAAATAAGATTGATAAACCCTTAGGTCAACTAATTAAAAGAGAGAAAAAACTAAATCATGAAAACAAGAGATGAATTAGGAGATATCACCACAGGTACCTCTTAAATACAGATTATCATTAATAATGTTTTGTAAGTTTATATTACAATAACCTGAAAAATCTAGACATTATGGACAAATTTCTAGACAAATTTGACCTACCCAAACTGAACCATGGGAAAAAGAAAACTAAACAGATCAATATCAAGCAAAGGGAAAAAATAGCATTTAAAAACCTTGCAACAAAGAAAAGCCCAGGGACAGATGGGATCCTCAGCTGAATTTTGCCAGATCTTTAAATAAGAATTAACATCACCAGGTGTGGTGGAACACACCTGTAATCCCATCAGTTTGGGAAGCTGAGACAGGAGGATCAAAAGTTCAAGGCCAGCCTCAGCAATTTAATGTGGTCACAAGCAACTTAGTGAGAACTTGTCTCAAAAAAAAAAAAAAAAAAAAAAAGCTGTGATGATTATCCCATAAAATAGAAAAGGACAGAACACAGCAAAATTCATTCTATGAAGCCCACATTATCCTGATATCAAAACCAGATGAAGACCCATGTGGGAAACAATACTATACACCAATATATCTTATGAATATAGACGTAAACAAAAAAAATGTTTAATCCATGGTATGAAACCCACAGTGATCAGTTATGTTTCATTCAAGGGAGACAAGGTAGGTTCAACATATATGCAAATCAATAAATATAATTCACCACATAAGTAGAATTTATATTAATAATCACATTATCATCTCAGTAGATGTAGAAAAAGCCTTGAAGAAAACCTAGCTTCATGTTAAAAATGCTGGAGAAATTAGGCATAGAAAGAAGTTACTTCAACATTGTAAAGGCTATATACAACAAATCCAAGGCCAATATCATACTGTACAGAGAAAAACTGAAAACATTTCCTTCAAAGTCAGAAACGAGTCAGAGACACCACGTTTGCCACTCCTATTCAATAAAATTCTTGAAACTCTAGCCAGAACAATTGAGCAAGTAAAGGAAATTAAAGGGATATAAATAGGAAAAGAAGTCAAATTATCTCTGTTTGCTGATGACATGATCCCAAGTATAGAAGACAACACCCTCCCCCTCCCCCCAAAAAAAAATTCACAAGAAGATTTCTAAAGCTGACTAGAACATTGTAACAACCTGAGTATTTACTTAACCTAGAAGCAATGGTTTATAATTCCAAATTCAGTGTTTAAGGTAACTTTTATAACACGTAGCTACTGCAAATAATGAACATTGACTATATCTATCTATATCTATTGCATAAGAAATTGTAAAAGTAAAAAAATACATTATTCAGGGACTTACATGGAAAAGAAACTTGAAAACCAAAAGGATAAGCAGAAACTTAAACTTTAACTACTATAAATATATTCAAAATGAAGAGGCTTCTGTTTCAGCTCTGTGTGCATGACACCTTAGGTTTTCCAAAATGGGGGAGCTGAAATCAATACTGGATAAAACCAGGACTAAATGTTATGAAGGAAAAATTGGCTAGAAAATCCCACCCACTAGCAACTATAGAAGATTAATAAACATCTCTCCCTCAAACTGGACTAAAATTTACCAAACAAACAAAAATCTGTAACAAAAATAAGAACATTAGGCCCTATGTCATTTATTAACTTTGGCTTACCATAAACCAGACATTAATTTCAAATTTGCATACTTTCATAGATGATGCCACTCAAGTCTCTATTTTTATGTGTATACAAACAAATCTCATGGATCATGTGAAAGTGAAAGGGTAAAGTTTCTAAGCTGGAAAGCTTGAATTAAAAACTTGAATTAAAATGTAAAAGATTAGGTGTTATTAAGTTCCTCTGTTACACCCAAATTCCTGAGATAGTTAAGACAACGCCCTACTGGCCATTCAGCCTAGGGCCCTGTGCAGTTTGTCACAGGGCCCGAACCAATCAGTTTGAATGTGTATCCCCCTTCGGAGTGATCAATCACCCCCGCCCGACCTGTTCCTGCCAATGAATGTGCCAATCACCCCCGCCCGACCTGTTCCTGCCAATGAATGTGCCAATCACATCTCAGAGTTGTTGTTCAATTTTCCTGTGCCTCATGATGATTTATTCTGATGTATGCAAAGCCCACCGCCCTCTCCAGAAAGTGTACTTAAGCTCTGCTTGACCTCTGTTCTGGGCTCTGGGCTGCTCTTCCTTTTTGAGTGAGCACGGAGCCCCAGCGCGCTGGAATGGATCCCCAATAAATCCCCTTTTTCCAATTGCATGGAGTAAGTCTCTTGTGTGGTCTCTCTCTCCCACGCTCCGCCGGACCCCTTTTACAAAAGTAGTAAAAAGAAAACCACTTTTTAAGACTCACTCACAACAAAAGCTCAAATGTTACCACAAGTGAAGTTAAATAAATAAACTTTAGTTTTAAATACAAGGAAGCCTGAAACAACTCACTATAAATAAAAGTAAGTAAAAAATCATGATCAGCAGAACTATAAATAAATACTTCTATAAAAAAGATGTATCCTAAATAAGCATAATTATTTCAGAAAAAATAGAATATGACTTAGAATGAGTATATTTAAAAAAAGGAAACCGGAATTCTTTTTTTTTTTTTTCATATGACAGTGGAATGCATTACAATTCTTATTACACATAAAGAGCACAATTTTTCATATCTCTGGTTGTACACACAACACAGTATATTCACACCAATTTGTTCTGTCATACCTGTACTTTGGATAATAATGATCATCACATTCCACCATCATTAATTATCCCATGTCCCCTCCCTTCCCCTCCAACGCCTCTGCCCTATCTAGAGTTTGTCTATTCCTCTCAAGCTCCTGCTCCCTATCCCACTATGATTCAGCCTCCTTATATCAAAGAAAACATTCAGCATTTGGTTGTTTGGGATTGGCTAACTTCACTTAATATTATCTTCTCTAATTCCATCCATTCCATGCAAATGCCATGATGTTTATAGCAGCACAATTCATAATTACGAATCTGTGGAACCAACCTAGACCTTTCCTTCTTTAAAGTTCTTCTTCAATGTCTTTCTTTAGTATTCTGTAGTCTTCATTGTATAGGTCTTTCACTACTTTTTTGGATTCACTCTATTCATTCATTGTATAGGTCTTTCACTACTTTTTTGGAGTTTTTTTTGTTTGTTTGTTTGTTTGTTTGTTTGAGGCTATTTGTGAATGGGGTAGTTTTTCTAATTTGTCTTTCTGAGAGTTCATCACTGATATATAGAAATGTGTTTGATTTATGAATGTTGATTTTATATCCTGATACTTTCCTGAATTCTAGATGCTTTCTGGTGAAGTTTTTTGGATCCTCTAAATATAGAATTAAGTCCTTGGCAAATAGTGATATTTTAATTTCTTTTTTTCCTATTCATATTCCTTTAATTTCTTTTGTCTACCTCATTGCTATGGCTGGAATTTCAAGGATTATTTTGAATAGGAGTGGTGAGAGAGGTCATCCCTGTCTTATTCTAGTTCTTAGAGGGGATGTTTGCAGTTTTTCTCTATTTAGAATAATGTGGCCTTGGGCTCAGTATAGATAGCTTTTACAATATTGAGATATGTTCCTACTATCTCTAGTTGTTCTAGTGTTCAGAACCTGAAAGGATGTTGTATTTTATCAAATTCTTTTTCTGCATCTATTGAAATGATCATATGGTTTTTATCTTTAAGTTTATTTATTTAATGAATTACATTGATTGATTTTCATATATTGAAACAACCTTCAATCCCACTTCATTGGTGCACTACCATTTTAATAAGTTTTTGAATGAGATTTCCTAGAGTTTATAGAGAATTTTTCACATCTATGTTCATCAGAGATATTGGTCTAAAGTTTTCTTTCCTTGATGTCTCATTGTTTCATTTAGGTATTAGGGTGATACTAGCTTCATAGAAAGAGTGAGAATTCACTCCTTTTCTATTTGATGGGCTAATGTGAGGAGTATTGATATTAATTGTTTTTTGAAGGTCTTGTAGAACTTGGCTGAGAATCCATCTGGTCCTGGGCTTTTCTTGATTGTTAGGCTTTTGATGGTGACTTCTATTTTTTTTTTTTTATTAAAATCAAGCTGTTTAAATTGTGTGCATCCTCCTGATTCAGTTTTGGCAGGTCATATTTCTCTAGAAATTTGTTAGTGTCATTGATATTTTCTGTTTTATTCGAGTATGAATTTTGAAAATACTTTTTAATCTTCTATGTCTCAGTAGTATCAATATTCTTTTTCATCAGGAATTTTAGAAATTTGAGTTTTTTCTCTCTTTTTTTTTTCATTAGGGTGGCTAGGGGTTTGTCAACGTTATTTATTTTTTCCAAGACCATCTTTTTGTTTTGTCAAATTTTTCAATTGTTTATTTTGTTTCAATTTCTTTGATTTCTGCCCTGATTTTAATTATTTCCTGTTTTCAACTACATTTCTATGACTTAGAGATGTAATGTCAAGTCATTTATTTGTTGACTTTTGCTTCTTTTAATGAATGAGCTCAATGAAATGAACTTTCCTTTAGTACTATCTTCATTGTGTCCCAGATATTT